ATTGTTGTAGCTAAATAAAGACGATTCGTACAAAACAAAAAAAATATTTTCTTTTACCTAATTCGAAATAATAATAAAAAACCAAAAAAGATAGAATAAAGAAGAAAACATCAACATTCATAGCCCGAAAGATTACCGAATCTGCTATAAACTGCATGCGAATTGAATAAAATTGTTTTAAAGTTTAAAACTGCCTCCGTGGCCGAACGGTTACCATGCCTGCCATGACTGCCACGCAAAGGTCCCAGGTTCGATTCCCGGGCCGGGAGAAATATTTGTATGGCCTACATTTATTTCTCCCGTGAGTTTGGGTGTAATTTGTGGTTGTCTATGTGTGTGTCCATGGCACCCGCGACACAGGGTTTCCCTAGTGCGGGGCTATGTTGATTGTGAGCGTTATTATTATTATAAAAAAAAAGAAGTTTTAATATTTAAATACTTCAGAAAAAAAATACAGACCCAAACAAAAGTCGAAATAGAATAGGCATTTATGCTGCTCTCCTTGTCATTACTATGCTAATGTGCATTTCAGTAACTTTCGTACCTAAAGTTTTATTGTCACATAAAAAACGCTGATTTTGCAATAACAATAAGACTGAAACTAAATAAGATATTCAAACACCGATTAGAGGGGCAAAAAACCAAAGTTCTTTTTGCCATTTCGGTAATTAAAAACACAATAGAAAATATTTAATAATGATGATTCTGAAAAAAAAAAAAAAAACAAAATGAAGACCTGACTCAAAAGATTTGTATACATATAGTATCCAAGCCAAAAATACTCGTGCGTTATTCCAGCGTGACCGTGGTCGAGTTTTTGAAATTTGATTAGCCAGGAAAGTCACTATTTAGTCGTTTCTTCACACCGGAATAAGCTTATTATAGCGGCACCATTACTAGCTTAGATCTGATTATACACTAAAAAAAAGTCGTAAATTAGTCGGTTCTAGTCCTAAAAACTAGATTTAGTCGTTTTACTGTTAACACTGAAATAAGCTCATTCCGGTGGCGCCATTTTTGAATCTCGGGAAACACAACTCCTAGCTTAGATCTGATTGCACCCAGAAAAAGTCGTGAATTAATCGGTTGTAGTCGCGAAATTTTAGAATTAGTCGCCCCTTTGTATGGAAGATACAACCGATTTATTATTTTTAGGTTATACCTGTGTTAGTCACGGAGTTCATGTACAAATTTTGCAAAATACACAGATTTTCTTATTTATCTTTTTGAAATACATGCTATTTGAAGATTTTTATAATGTTTGGTTTTTAATACAAGGAAAATAGGAAAAAAATATACAGTTATTTTTCCTTAATGGCATTAGGATTTATCAATATCATGATATTTATTAGTGTATGTATGTCGTGTTGGGCTCCTGGCTTACACGAGACGAACGAGGCGCGTGGAGTACTAGAGTTAGTTAGTAGAGTAGAGTTCATCTATGAGATATCTTAAGTATTTCGTCACCCAGTTAGACACCTTTATAGCTACCAGCCCTGGCTAGAGATGTCGCTATTCATTGTATTTAATTTTATTATTGAATTGATATTCAATTATTTTTTATGTGAAATTACTCCACTAGTTTGTTACAATTATAAATAATGAATCCGGACGGATCGAAAGATTTTTTCTGAGTGTTCAATCTTTGTATTAATAATTGTAATAACGAAATCTGTCCATTTTGATTGCAAATTGCTCAGAACGAAGACGATAAAACCATTTTATATAAAAAAGGATGGGTCCTTTTTTATATAAAATGGTTTTTTATGGAAAATGGGTTTTCTACTCAAGCTTTTCGACAAAGAAATCAATTCAGATGCTTGCGATTTAGTAGATTGCGTAACAAGTACAGCAGATATAATTAATATGTTATATCCAACTTTTTATAGCACAATGCGGCGAAAAATATGTACAAACATGCAATGCCTATCAATATCGAAATCATAAAAAAAGAGGGGATAGTGGCATTAAACAAGTCTATAAACATGTCAATAAATAAAGACAAAGTTATATAGATTTTAAGACTTTCGTGGTTATTCACTAAATGATTGTCACTAATATTAGGTTTCTTACCACGGTGTGACTTCTTTTTATTTTCCCGATATTTCGGAATGGTTGCATGCTCCATGGTCACCGGTCAACCCGTGAAAATAAAAAGAAGTCATACCGTGGTAAGAAACCTGATATTAGTGATAATCATTTAAAGACAAAGATGCCTCTCTGATTGTGGTGCTACTGTGAAATTTGATTATTATCCAAGGACTAACTTATTTATTGAGACATCTGGCGTTGCTAGCGTCAACATTGATGATGTACCGTGCTGCATCAAAATAGGCGGCATTGGACATTTCAGAAGTTGGTGCTATATGAAAGCTACCAAAAAATTGGCAGTGTTACCACGATTTACAGGACTTACCACATTACCTTCCACCCAGATATTGCCTCAAAATATAATCTAAAAAAAAACTCAATTTTCTTTCCAATAAACAAAAAAGCCAATTACATAAAACACAAATTTTAAGCTATAACAATTTTTATATTTGATTTTTTCGTAAAAGAAAAAACTCAAACTGTTACGTATTTTATGTTGAACACCAAATATCTATAAGATGCATCAAATGCTATGGATGTGTACGTGTTATGTACTTGTTGTACATAATTGTTATTCTAAGTCTAATTATTCTGTGATTTTTAGTTTAAGAAATAATATAGACACTACTGCGAAATCTGTGATTTTTAGATAATTAAATATTTTTCGTTGTAATAAAATTCATTCATTCATTCAATGAATTCTTATCAATAGTCGTACGCAACTGTACGCGTCTCGTTCGTTTCGTGTAAGCCTGGATACCAACACGACATACTTATATAAATAAATATCATGTCAATCGATAAATCCTAAGATCATTAAAGAAAATTAAGTACATATTTTTTGCTAATTTTGCATGTATTGAAAACTAAACGTTATTATAAACTTCAAATACTACGTATTTAAAAAAAAAAACAAAAGCTGTATATTACGCAAAATATGTACGCACATGAACTCCGAGACTAACTTAGGTACAACCTCAAAATAATAAATTAAAATTAGAATTCGAGCTGTCAAAAGTTAAACAAATGGTTGGACAGAGTATAGATTTTTATATATATTCACATTTTTCATTATGTGTACGATTTTTCGACGTAAATGTATCTATCAATGAAAATAATTGAATATCCAATATCTTCTTAACAAAGGAGCGACTAATTCTAAAATTTTGCAACTAGAACCGACTAATACACGACTTTTTCTGGATGCAATCAGATCTAAGCTAGAGGCTGTGGTTCTCGAGATTCAAAAATGGTGCCGCCGGAATAAGCTTATTTCAGCGTGGACAGTAAAACATCTTAATAACTTCAAAACGGCGTAATGACTAAATCTAGTTTTTTACGTCCAGAACCGATTAAATCACGACTTGTTTTTAGTGTAATCAGATCTAAGCTAAGTGTTGTGGTCCTCGAGATTGAGAAACGGTGCCGCTGGAATAAGTTTATGCCAGCGTGGACAATAAAACACCCTTATAACTTTTGAACAACGGACCGATAACGCTAAATCTGTTTCAATCTGGTCCAACTGCGTAGTTCAACTAGTAGGACCAAGTTTGCAAAGTTTTTTGCCCTTGGTCCAACCATTTGGACTACGGGCAATATTGTAATGGGCATTGGACCTAGATCGGTTAGTACGGTCACCGTCAAGAACGACGAATTTATAATGGGAGTTCATATAGAACTAATTAATTCCGAAATTTCTGTAGCACATGCCTTGGACAAGCTGCGTTAAATCAATCGGACGCCATTTTTTTTTTTTTTCAGAAACGAGCATTCTTTTGATAAATTTGTAAATGTTACTGTTCTATATTTTGTGACAGTAACCCAAATTGTCTAGTCAATGATCACAATGCATCATAAAAAGTTAGGGTTTTTATATAATTATATATTTGCTATAGTTTTAGTATAAAAAATATTTTTAATTTTTTTAATTTTTGTTATTAATTTTTGAAACTGTTAACAAAAATCATTTTAAGGCAAAATAAAAAAATTATAGACTAACATGGCAACTTATTACAAAATTTGGCGCAACTAATCTTCTTTTCCTTCTTCGTGTCCTTATCCCACGCTAGGTCGGGTCGGCACAACACGTATTTTATGGGAATACGCGTTGTAAACGGATTTGGTATGGTGTTTTATGACCGACCGACTGCCTGACGTCAACCCTCCTTGGGAATACTCTGTTTAAAGTGTGGCCAGAGCCCCCCTTTCGCTATGTGCAGGGTCCACCCCTTTCGCTATGTGCAGGGTCCACCGCGTGCAGACGAGGTTGGTATGTGGCCCTGGTAATTGGAATACTTAGGAATTTATAGTTTTATTTCACCCTAAACCGAGTTTGCTGGCCTGATCAGTCGCCATTCCAAAAGTAGATATGACGTTGCGTTTTAAATCCAGCTGCGGCGCTCCTCAGTGACTGCACGCACAATTATAGCGTTTTTTTCTGGCTAGTCAAATATCAAAAACTTAACCCTGGTCGCGCTGGAATAAGGCACACGCCTTTTTGCCATTGTAAAATTAAAAACACATTATAGCAAATATTTAATAATTAGGATTCTTCAAAAAACTAAATGAAGATCTGGCTCAAAAGGCTTTTATACATACAATATCTACCTAAGGTATCAACAGTATTAAATCCAATCCTGATAATTAAGTACAAAATACTAGGCACGCACGTTTTGAATTTATTTAACAATAGATCACATAAAATTCTATGAAACCATGATCGATTTGATTGAATATTCTTCTGCCTACTCTTATCAAATTAATTAAATTGAGAGTAGTTATATGTATAGGTACTTAATGCAATAAAACAACTAAATTATAAAAACCTTAAATTTATTTTTTATTTCTACATAACCGAAACTTACAAATGCACACTTTGGTAACACCCGACATCTTAATCAGTCTCACAAAATTAAATATTTAAATTAGAATGTTTTACTACTTTTTTTCTTTCTTGTTGGTGGTATCTGCGCTTTGATCTTGGATTTCTTTCCGTACTGGTCCAGTTTGCGAGATTGGTACAGTCCTTTCTCCTTTCACGGCATCTGGAACCTTCCTTGGAGCCGAAATTGTCAGGACACCGTCAGACGACAACTTTGATTCCACAGATTCCGGAGTAATACCTTCGGGAAGCGCGTAACGTCGTGTAAACTGCCTAGATATGTACCCATGTTCGTCTTTCTTCTCCTCATGTTTACCCTCAACTACAATATACCCGTCTGCCGTTTTCACGGAAATTTCTTCGGGCGCAAATTGTTGGACATCCAAGTTAATTTGGTACTTATCCGCATCAGCTTTAATACTGGATCCTAGGTCTCTTGCAGCAGCGGCTAAATGGCGCCAGGGACGGTAGTACTCCCTTGATAGAAGTGGTCCAGCGGCAGCGGTAAGGAAATCGTCAGGAGTCAGCACCAGGCCGAAATGCTGATCTTGAAGACGCCGAGGACGGTAGCTTGGATACCAATCATCAAAAAGATACGGTAACAGAGACATAATTATTGAACTCGAACTTAATGATAGCAGAATACAAAATTCAAGAGAAGCTGGTCTCTTCAAATTCGCTTGTATAATACGAAGTTTCTTCGCTTGTGTTCCAAATTCAACTAGCGAAGTGGAACTCGCGCGCGTCTTTTATACCATGCTTGACGCCATCTAGTATCGAATAGAAAATTCTCGATGACGACAAATTTTATCAGCTGAGGGCTGGTCAATCTTTTGGGCCGCAACGTCAACACATTGTGAACGATGTCGTTTAATGATTAATCTGATAATTAAAGTAAGTTACATTAGATAAGTAGTAAGTATTAATGTGTTTATTTGAATAACGAGTGTTTAAAGGGCATCAAATAAAAGAATTGTTAAAATGACGAAATTCAATCAATATCAAAATAATGCCAACAATAATACGTTTACAAAGAATAGAAGAGAAAGAAGAGTTTTAACTTCGTCTAATCATAAATCGCATGTGGTCGCAAGTGTGTAAGACAAACATTAGTTTTGCACTTTAATATATATATTGGAAAATATAATACCAATATCTTTAATCACTGCAACTATGGCCTTATAAATCTTTTTTTACCAACATACTTACTCTTGACTGAATTTAAATTCATTCTATAAACCCTTTAAGGCTCCAAATTTCAAAGTATCAAGCTTCATGTACCCTTGAACGTACATGTAATTAAATAGAAATATTTAAGTACAATAGTCATATCGGGAGTCACAAAGCAAGCTCGCATAAAGTGAAACCGAACCTAAGGTTGTGCAGCCCTGCAAATGATACGAGGTCGGTGTCCTAGGAAGATTCTAGAAAACACCAGCATACATAACCTTGACACTGAAAGGCGTGGCAAATAGTATTAAAACTATAAAAAAATAGACTTTATCTACGTAACTTATTTTATTGCCACCCTAAATATATAAAAATAATACGTAAAGTAAGTTTATCAATTATTACCATTAGGTATTCAGAAAGGTATGTACCTTAAAAAAAAGTAAAAAAACTGAAGAGGCGGTAATAGATGAATACAGTGAGTGCTTATGTATACGCTTTCACCGGTATACTTATCCTTCATGAAAACTAGTAAATACAGTAAATACGTAAGTCTATTATTATTAATTAAATTTTGTTATAAATTCACGTTAATATGTTATGTAAGCTTCTAGCAAAACTTTGTAGTGTTTGATTGTTCAAATGCTTCTGAGTTGTATGTAAGTAAATAGGCAATCAAAATGCCACATACTTACATAAAACTTATAAACTACCTACAAAAAATTTACTTATATTATTTTTAAAACTATCCGCCTATCGTTGGCCTAGCACAATTGTTTACTCGTCAGTATTTATTTATTATTACGAGCTATAAAATTTTTAAACGATGTTCCAGAAAGGTTCCAGACTGTTCGCAAAAGAAGTCTAGAAGAATGTTTCTAAATTTATCAATTGCCTGGGATTTTTTATAATTTTCACGTTGTGAGCGTTGGTACTTATCTAATAAAATTAAATCCTAAATCTACAAATGGTAACTATTTACAGCATACATAATTGCATCATCATAATATTTATTTATTTGTCTAGACAACCGGCAATTTGACCTTCAAGAAATTTCGGCATGTTTAGTATCGGAGCGCGGTACATTGTGTAAACAATTCTTATCAATGTGTGAGTGAAACATTGCCCGTGTATCCCAAAACCAGCGAGTTCGAGAAATTTCTACTTGATACGAGATGGCGCTGTCTAGCGTATATAAATGCACGTCGAGCGAGGTACGGTTCAAGTAAATATTGAACACGAACGCGAACTCTCAAATCGAGGAATCATACCAAGCTACAAGTGAATTTCTTTCACAGTGAAATTGTGAATTTGAGTCAGAAATTCAGCAAGATGTCTCTTTTCCCCTACGTGTTTGGTGGCTGGCCCATGCCCAGCCGTCTTCTCAACCAGGACTTCGGATTGGCTTTGACTCCGGATGACCTTCTTGGTGCTTCGGCCTGTCCGGTACTCTCACGAGACTATTTCAGACCCTGGAGACAGCTGGCTTCTCAAGATATCGGTTCTAGCATCAAGGCGGATAAAGATAAGTTCCAGATTAACCTGGATGTCCAGCACTTCGCGCCTGAAGAGATTTCTGTGAAAACAGTTGACGGGTACATAGTTGTTGAAGGTAAACATGAGGAAAAGCAAGACGAACATGGGTATATCTCTCGTCACTTTGTAAGAAGGTACGCCCTACCCAAGGGTTGCAACGCCGAGTCTGTAGAGTCTAAACTATCGTCTGATGGAGTTTTGACCGTCACTGCTCCTAGAAAAGAGTTGGCTGTCGAGGGAGAAAGACCTGTGCCCATTCAACAAACTGGACCTGTTAAAAAGGAAATCAAAGATGGCAGCGAGAAGGAAGAAACCAAAAAGTCATAGACATAGTGATCAAGTTCCTTTAATTATTTCAGACGTCTGAGTAAACTGGTCTCATGTTGTTGTAGTAACAAACGGATTGATGCTAGGCAGGTTTAGTTCAAATCCGCTCCTTTTATTTTGTAGATTTTACCGATTTGTGATGGTCTGATTAGTTGCTAAGTACCTACCTACCTAAGTACCTATTTGTATTTTTGTAACGTCTCTAGTCCTTTTCAAAGAATATCAATTGCATTAATTACAAACCTCATCGAACAAAAAAAACTTCTGTAATAAGTTGATTTGTAGAGCTAAGAGTATACAATATATAATTGTTATATTTATCGAAAGTTAGTATTTTTTACAAGGAGAAATATGTAATTAAATTAACTATTGTTCAAGAACAAATTTTAAATAATTAAATAAATTATATTAAAAAGAAAAAAGTGTTTTTATACGTCTTTCAGACAAATAATCCCAAACAGTGTCGACTGGAGCCTTTTAGAAGATGGAAAAGAAAGAATTGCACAATGATTGCAGCACTTAAACTAAAACGACAACTTTTTACCCTACTAATCAAATTTTAAATACTATCATTGTCATGCTGGAATAATGGACGCATATGAATAACTTTTATTATGAATAAGTTACTTTCAATTTATATAGTATAGACGCTTTCTTTCTTTCTATAACAAGGTTTAGGGTGGGTTGAATGAAGTGAATGAAATGAAAATGAAGAGTTGAAAACAATGCCCATTGATCAGCGATAACGGCATCTACATGAATTCCGATTGGCAAAATTGTCCCCAATCTGCCCAGATAAGAAGAAAAGAATATCATTCATCACAGAAGCAGCCCTACTTAATGAAAATCCAAGGCAAGTGTCGTACCTAATCGTAATCGTAAAACGCCAGCACACTAATGAGACATCAAGCGCGCTGACTATATCCATATGAAAATGAAACACGATATACTAAATCTATGGTATGGACACTGTATGTACCATCCAATCCACAGAACACTTATACTCACAAAGATCCGATCCGTGTGGTCAAATGCGGTCAATCCCTGAGTCAATATTCCCTAAAGTAAACGTTTCTAAAAAAAAAAAAAACTAAAAATAGTTGTTTTATGTAAAGCTTAAAACTTAAACCTAACAATACTCGTGACAGATAATGTCATGCTATATTATTTATTTTGATTTTGTATAATAAAGGTTTTAAAATTGTTTTTAAATACCAAATAGCTCATAAAATGAACATGACGACTTCCACAATATTTACACTAAGCGGGACATGTACAGAAATAGAATAGTAAAAAGAAGAACTTTAAACGAACTGAAATAATATGTTATTAAGTTCCTCATGTGTTTTGCGTTTCGTTCCGTTTCGTGCTTTGTTGGATCATCCAAGATATCTAAGGCCCATAGTAAAACTTGGTAAAGATAAATTCCAAGTATGTATAGACGTACGGCAATTCAATAAAGATGAAATCAGAGTGAAGGCACGAAAAGAATTCATTGTTATTGAAGGCAAACAGGAGCGAAAAATGAAAAATGGATTTGTTATTAGGCAGTTTGAACGCAAATACAAACTACCATCAGGTACCAACAATACAATAATTGCTTTTCCAGGTTCGACTGAAAAAAAGGGAGCACTATGAAATAGGGACTTAAAATTTTTTAATAATTCTGTCCGGAGGGTGCTACAGCGTTTGAAAAAAAAAACAGAATTATCTATACATATAAAGTACGCTATATTTTTTTCCTCGTAATTTTTTGTGCTAATTTAATTTAAAAATAGGTGTTTTCAATAATTTTTTGTGGTACGTGTGGACGTTAAAATTTTTTTATATTGCCTAAGTGGACGGTGAGGCAAAAAGTTTGGGAACCTACGATTTAAAGTAATGTTGCAGAAAGCAAAATTAATGCGAGTTACACTACTTTTGCGTTGATCGCCTCAATATATTTTACATTTTATGTCACTATATAAAATATTGTAATAAATAGCGTTACTAACAAGGGATGTTATGTTACCTTCGTTCAAATTATCGAAGTATATTTTAATTCTTAGGAATATTCCGCCATTTACAGGTTGACGTGGTCAACCGTGACCATGGGACCTGTAAAGGGCCCGAAACGTCGGTTTGTTTGAAAAAACAAATATACGCGATTTAAACCCGGAAAAATAGTTTCATTTCCTATGTGTAACAATCGCGAAAACCTAAGAACTCGATATTTTAATTCTTTTAAGTATATCGTCTGGTAATCTACTGAATAACTGAGGTGTAATACAAATATTATTTTACTGTAAAATTCACATTAGAACGTTGCCTGATGATGACGTTGATGCTTCTATATTATTATCCGTATTTCTAAGATATCTACTTTAAATACTTTAAAAAGTTACCCAGGTTTGTTTAACAAATACACGTGCCTCATCTCATACATTGACTATATTGTATTTGTTATAATTGCCTTGTATTTTACAGGATGTAATCCACATTCAGTGTACTCAACCCTCAAACCCAATGGCATGTTAACAGTAACAGCACCGCGAGAAGTAAGTGACGATATAAACCTACGGACCGAAATACCCATCCCTATAAAATTCTGCAGTCCAGACTGCAATGAAGATCCACAATGTGCGGAAGTTGAGGAACCAAAAAAATCTTTAAAATCTCTATGTGATTACTATTTGAAAAAAGATAAGCCGAACAACGAAAAAGATGGTCAAGATCAGTGTAATCCACCGCCACCACCACCATGTCCACCGTGTCCACCGCCACCACCAACTTGCCCTCCACCTCCGCCAAAGACGTGATTTTTTTTTATTTGCGATTACAAGTGTTCTTTGTCATTTTGATTCTTTTACTTTTACAACGACGGAGTAAAATTGTATTTATAGTTTTATGGAGGAAAACTATAAGGCCCGGCGGCACGGCTTGGGATTTCAGCTTAACGTTATGACTTCATAATTCAAATTGCAATGATGTATCAATGGGTTAAAGGTTGGGTGCTAACAACGAGTGAGCAATGCCAAGAGAATGTACTTACAGTTTATTAATAATTTACTAGAAAACGCGTAGTCGCTATCAAAGCAAAACAGCAAAAACTAGCTAAAGTCAAGAAAAAGGCGCCTAAAACAAACACATTCAAATTTAGAATTTAAATATAAAACTGAAAGAGATTATAAAATATATGCAAAAGAGATTTGTAGCGACTGCTGCGATTCGCTACAATAATGGTCGTAGTTACGAAAACAAAGGGATACCGAGCCGGCAGCCTCCGAAATGCCTTGGCAGCCTTCGGGATGCTTCAGCAGGTTTTTAAGTTAAACCGTCACTGTGCGCTTGCATATAGGGATGCCGAAGGATGCTTTACTGTCGTGACAGTGGGCGCCGGGCCTAAGTTTGCCCAGTTTGTTTGTAAGTTTTTAGGAATAGTTTGCCCACGGATTCTGTTAGTAATTCGAAGGCCTACGAAGATCAGGTTACCCACCTAACGCTTTTTGGTCTCTACCTCCCGAATTTTGGGAAGTGGATGAGTAATCACATGATCTCGATTACTCCCAGAACAGCACTGTACGTACAAAAGCAAATATCACAATATGGACAAAAGAGGTACGGTACAGTTTGTGTGCTCGAATGTACGGTACGTTCGCCGGTTCTCGCAATCATACAATACAATACAAAATAAAAAGTACTTCCTATATATTAAGGTGAGGTATTTCAACGTGAACCTACATCTAAGACACAACCCCCCACACACACAACGCACGCATGGCGTCGAGACTTCGAGAGACATGACATCCACGCAACTGCGATGTAACGCCAGCGCAGTGTATACCCGACGACGCACGTTCGACACTATTAAGTAGTCGCTCAGTGTTGGCATTGCGTCTACATAGTTAGGAATACTACGTTGCGTCGCCTATAGACTCTGTGTATGCGTTTGCAAGACGCTGACGCTCGAAAGACGCTAGTGTGGGTCTCTTAGTTCGAGGCGTTCGAGCTTTGGGAGGTGAGGTGTGAATGACCACCCCTCGCGTCCCGCAATCCGCGTGCAGGACATTAATATGAATAAAATAAGACGGGGCAGCGGGCGACGCCGGCGCGGCGTAACGTTGAACCACCGTTTGTCTCAAAATTTGAAAATTGCAAATTTTGGGATACATGTGAATTTCATAACTAAGGTTTCCGTTGAAAACCAAATTTTATCAGGTTTTCTGTAGTACTCAAAGAGAAACATGTTCATACAAAAAAGTGTATACCACTGATCTTACCTAAATCTAGCAAAATAGTTTTTCCCGCTTCTCCTAGCATAAAAATTTTGCCTTAAACAACGTCTCTGCCCTGCTTGTCATAACTAACGCATTTGCATATTGGTATGGTATCGTAACTTTCGAGGTATTGGCACCTGAAGTTTTTTTTGCTAATAATAAGTTTCAATGATGCTGATTCTGCTTAACTACAAAACTTAAACTAAATAAGATATAATAAAATCGATTACTGGGGGGGTCGTAGACCCCGTTTTACCGATCCTAGATCTACAAAATATATGACCAATGACGTACCAATAATACCTAACTTAAATGAGTCGCTCATTGCTCTTTTAGTGGTAGAGTTGTTTCACATATTTCGAAACACTACATTTTTATAGTTTTTTTTTTGTGATACCCAGTGATGGGACGATGAACATACCGGTTGCGTGCCACTCAGGTGCTCGGAGCTTTAAATTGCAAACATCTGAGGGGCTCTGTCACTGCACCCGTTACCCTTAAATATAAGTTGACAAGTCCCATGTGCGTGTAATTTCACCAGCAACCTTAGCTTTCTAAACCGGAATGCAATACTGCCGCCCACCAACTAAAGCGCGGCTAAGTGACAAATGGTCAAATATCAGATTTAACTAGCAAAAGATAGAGCACAAAATTCTCTTTTAAGAACAGGTAAAATTACTTAAGGTATTTGACTTATCGGAACTTCCCTTACTTATAAATATTTTGCACTTAGCCGTGATTTAGTTAGTTGACGGCAGAATAAAGCTCACATTACTGCTTAACGGCAGAAATAGGTAAGGTGGTAGTCATCGAGTATATAATCAGAAACAGAGATGAAATAAGGGCCATATATTCCTGGTAACACATTAGCGATACAGCTCTTATATCAACTCCCGTTTGCACTGAAATATAGACAGGCCAACTACTGACCTGTATGTACGTCTCCGTATGTTCCAAAAAATATTCTATATTTATTGTAATAAAGATAATATCTCTAACAATGCCGTGCTGTTCTATTCGGTGGTGTGGGAAGAACAGCAAAACATCTAATTACAAAACAAACGGAATCACATTTCATCGGTAATTAAATATTGAATATGTAATTTTGCAATTTTCGCCCATTATAGCAAAGCTCAAGTTAACTGGTCGATTTGAAGTGAAACAGTTGACGACACCCATTGACGAAACCCGTCAATTGTTTCGAGCTCGGGCTAGCCAATCGGAGCGCAGTTGTCACAGTAATGATATTTCGTCTCTGTGTCTGGTCATATACTCGATGGTGGCATTACTTCCCTGGATGAACTCTTTCACAAGGTGCTCTTCTGCTACGAAAATGTACATCACGGCAGTAAAACAGCAGGACATTCAGCAAAATAGCTAATATTCCTTTTCTTTGTCTTTAATTTCCTTATGATATCAAGTGACGGCACGAACAAATCGTGCATCTGGTGGTAAGCGACATAACCTGTCCATAACATACATTGACTCCTCACTAAGCTGGACCTTACAGGTGTCCGAGGTTAGTCGTAGGGTTACTTCTTCTTTACGTTTTCTAAACCGCTTTCGACATTTTCTGCCCATTAGTACTAAGACCCTGCTCGTCACCTCCCTTATATTCCCACTCATTGATTATGCTGATGTCTGTTATCCTGATCTCAACGAAAATCTATTAAACAAGTTGGACCGCCTGCTCAATAATGCTATTCGTTTCATTTTCTGCCTTCGGAAATTTGATCATGTTTCTTCTTTTAGGTCTCAACTTAATTGGCTCCCTATTCGTCAACGCAGACAGAAAAGAATTCTCTGTACGTTGTTCTCTCTGTATCTCTGTACGTTCTTTTCAATCCCCACTATCCAGAATACTTGAAATGTAAATTTCAGTATCTCTGTGACTCTCATGACCTCCCACTTCGTTCCATGAATTCACTATCACTCTCTGTACCTCTCTTTCATTCTGGCTTCATGTCAGATTCTTTTACTCTCCACTCGATACGGCTCTGGAACGCTCTACCGGACGCCATCAGACGGTCTCCTAATATATTTTCTTTTAAAAATAATGTTCATGAGCATCTTCTAAATTGTTTGTCACAGCAATAATCATCATCATATTCTGTTATTGTAAGTATTTTGTATATGTATAGTATATTTGTATGTATGTAAGTGTATTTTTTTATATTATTAAGTAAGGTATTAGGTTAGTTTGTTATATATATAATTATGAATTTGTTTCATTTATTTTAATATAACCGTAATATTCTGTTTATTTACCGCGTTCGTGAATTTCGTTTTTCTCATAGGTTGACTGGTAGAGAATGCTTTTAGCATTAAGTCCGCCTTTTGTACCCTTTGTATTGTGGTGAATAAAGTTTAATAAATAAATAAAATAACAGTTGCAGTGCCGCTCAGTTTTAAATCGCAAAGATATGAGGGGCACTGTCACTGCGCCCATCACCCTGAGACGTAAGTTGAACAATCCCATGTGCTTGTAATTTCACCAGCACCGTTGTCTATCAAAACCGAAATGCAATAATGCTTACATTACTGCTTGGTGGTGGCAGTACTTCCCTAGACGAACTCTATCACAAGGAGCTTTACTTTTACTAAACGTTTTTAGTATAAGGAAGGAATTAATACTATAATGAGGTATTTTTCAAAGCAAATAACGAAATATCTACATTAAAATTCTAAAAAGATAATAATTAAATGTTTTAAAAATATTTAAAATGCGAAAGGTCATTAAAATGCGAATAAATCGTTTTTGTCTCAGTTGTCTTGGAATTGGGATTATTCTGTTCGATTTATTACACGTTTCGATTGGAAATAGCGTTTTTTTTTTCGTTTGCGAATTCAGTTCATAAATAGCACTCCTTTGGCTTGACAATTCAGGAGCTTTGGGATGGAAAAATTCTTAGGATCCTATAGAATCAAAATACGATTAAAGTTGCTACATACATGTTTAAAAAAGTTAGTAAAAATCAATCCCGTGAATACAGGAACCAAGAGGATATAAAATTATACTCCTGTCCCATGGGATTATAGGCATGATAATAATAAGAATAAATAATAAAATATATAAGGTATTTTCCAAAGCAAATAACGAAATACCTACATTAAAATTCTAAAAAAGATAATAATTAAATGTTTTAAAAACTTAAAAATATTTAAAATGCGAAAGGTCATTAAAATGCAAATAAATCGTTTTTGTCTCAGTTGTCTTGGGATTGGGATTATTCCGTTCGATTTATTACACGTTTTGATTGGGAATAGCGTTTTTTTTTTCGTTTGCGAATTTAGTTAATAAATAGCATTCCTTTGGCTTGATATCTCAGGAGCTTTGGGATGGAGAAATTCTTAGGATCCTATAGAATCAAAATAGGATTGAAGTTGCTACATAAATGTTTAAAAAAGTTAGTAAACATCAATCCCGTGAATACAGGTACCAAGAGGATATAAAATTATACTGATGTCCCATGGGATTATAGGCATGGGAGCCAAGTGGCAGGAGTGAATATCAATGTCACGGGATACACTGTTTATAGAGAAACACCAGGTTGACGAGTAAACGCTGCATAGGCTTAAAGCAAAGGGTCAAGTCGGTGTATTTATTACAATAGGTAGGTTATCATACAGATATGTTTCATACACGGAGAAATAACGTAGTATCAATTTATCAACACGAACTTAACGGATATAAACAAACATTTTAAAAACAAACGAATTATCTTTATTTAGGAACAATTTAGAAGCTACAACTTAAATAAATCAGTCTTAATCAAATTAAATCCATGAAAATGTGACATAGAACATGTCAAAACTCTAATGGAGACGAGAACATTTTATTCAGCTTTATCTCCATTGGCCTGGTCCTTAATATCCTTGCGAACGGGTCCAGTCTGAGTGATGTTAATCGTTTTTTCACCCTGGATGCTAGGAGGCACCTTTTTTGGACAGATAACCGACAAAACACCGTCGGAAGAAAGCCTAGACTCTACGGTCTCCGGTGTACATCCTTCCGGCAATGCATAACGCCTGGTAAATTGACGCGAAATGAAACCATGTTGATCTTTCTTCTCCTCATGTTTCCCTTCAACGACAATATATCCGTCTACGGTTTTCACAGAGATCTCGTCAGGCGTGAAATGTTGAACATCCAAGTTAACTTGGAACTTATCTTTATCCGCCTTAATGCTGGATCCAAAGTCACGCGCCGATGCAGCCATATGTCGCCATGGTCTGAAATATTCCCGATTCACCATCGGGCCAGCGACAACGGAGAGAAGGTCGTCCGGAGTCAGCCCCAAGCCGAAATGCTGGTCTATGAGTCGACGTGGACGCTCCAAATCGTAGTCCAACAGCAAAGGTAGCAAGGACATTACGTATTTTCTTTCTTATTGTACTCTTGAAATAGTTACGTAAAACAGGTTCCGCCACAAAATTCGTGTTGAAAACAGGAAGGATTTTGGAAAGCTTCTTTTCGTTTTTTCGCAGTCGCGCACTCAATTGTTTTTTTCAAAATTGATGACTTAAGGACATATCTATGGTTCACGTGTTTCAATTGGCCAGTACGTTCTCGAAATCGGTCGAATATTATACGCGACGCGACGCGACGGCAGGGCTGCTTTTAAGTGAGGCCGCTTCCTATTTTTTTTTTCTATAAATGATCTCGGCAACATGCTTAAGCCCTTAAAGCATTGTTTTTTTATGAATGAACATTTTTCCAGAAATTGTCGCATTTTCTTCTAATAAAAAAAAGTCAAGACTTTAGTGTGTGTATCTTTATTTTAGTACCTACCTACTAATTGAATCATATTTGCTTAACGACATGAAATATAAACTATACTATACATATATGATACAAACTGAAATAGTTATTACATTTAAATTGAATTTGAAAGCAACCATTAAAATTTTATTGCATAATATTAATTATAGACCAATATAGTAAGTACCCATAAAATTAATTAAATATTATCCGGTTATTACTTTCATAAATTATAACTCACAATCAAATTTAGTATGAAAAATGCGGGTAGAATGTTTTGCACATCTGGAAATCAACACCGGAATGGTGAAGATTGCTGTCGAAATAAGTCGAATATTCTAGTTTGTCATTGGCACAAAATATCTAACTGTACAGTGTAATTACGAAAACATCTAAACTTTCGACCTCTAGTGTCGAATAGTTGAACTATTACAAGAATGAGTAAGATAGTTGTCCTCTTAATTTGGACACCGAGCACTTAGAATTCCGTACCACAAGATGGCACATCAAACTAGTAATACGTCTTAATAATATTGTTGTCAGTCATACACATCTTTATCAGAAAAAAGAAGTAACTCCTTTAGAAAAAGTTCAGAAATTTGTAATGCCACAAATTTTACAGCTTTATCAACACATTTTGTTTAATAGTACAGATCTAAACAACTTTAAAACATCAAAACAACACACCGTTTAAAATGGTCACCATTAAAACTTACCATTCTGTACATTTAATTTTTTCCTTAATCTCTTTAAATCTTTTTTGGTTTTCTTTAATTTTTTCTAATTTCCAACTATCAACAGACTTTTAAAACTTGACTGAACTGAATACCATGCCCCTGGTGCCATCTAGAGTAACTGTGCTGAACCACCTCTGATCGCAAGTAATGGGGCGAGAAGTAGAGTTGTGCCAAACATATTATAAAGTGAAAGATTATGTATCTTTTCGACTCTGTGATATATGAACTAATCTTATAAAGTAACTTACTAACTCAGTAATCTTTTAAAGATTGAAAACAACCGAATGAAACTATCTATTGTCCATTAAAATTATTTGGAAATTGGTTTTCCTAATTTTCTACGAAAGGACAATAATGTTATTTCTCTTCAAAAATTACTATTTTACTTTTACTAATCTACAGTAGTACTGCAGTATATATCGTTTTCTTTTATTGCCCGCTAAAGACGCATCTATTCTTTCTTCTACTACTTCATCATTTATTATCTCTTTCTTTTTTGTGTTCGTCAATACATCTCTGTCCTTTTCTGAACAACGTAATTTTAATAAAATTGAACCTTATGCGTGAGTGAGTTAAAGATATATCTCTCTTTTGTACGGATATATATCTTTTTTATTCGTCACTCGATAGCTACCAAAGGGCGACATTCGCTCGTGTTTCATTCAACTTCGTGCGTACTCCGTGCACGCTATACGAAATTGTGATTTAATTCTTTACAAATCACAATTATCACAGGAAAAAGTTGCTAAGAGTGCTGTGATTTTGTATTTTCTTTTATTTTATACGAACTTTATTAGTGTTTAAGTGAAAAGTGTTGTAAGACGGATTTTTGTGTTTGAAACACATTTTTACAGTTGCGGCGTTTTGTGGATGTCGTGAAATTTGTTTTTGTGATATTTCTTGTGCGATAATGTCTTCTGATTCGAAATTGACCGACGAGGAGCGAGCGGAGATTAAGGAGCAATTCTCACAGGTGAGTTTTGTACAGTTATCGTGTGTTCATTCATTTTTTGAGGCCGGCCGAGGAGTCGCGATTGATTATCTTAGCCCGAATTTGGGCCATGGGCTTACGTAGAGTGTATTTTGCAATAATTCGAAATTCGTTTACCTTTTAAGGCGTGTACGCGGCATTTTTGTTAAACCATAGGCTCAATCAAGCCGTGTGTGGTCCGGTTTACCTTGGGGGACTAATAACCTATATGTACCTACATATCTGTTTATATAAATCATAAAATATTATCTTTATCGGTATACCGGCAGGATTTTGAAGCTGAGGCTGCTTTGAACACGAGGTTGCTGTTATAAACCATAGACATATACAGTGTATAGCTACACTACTGTTTTTAAAGTAGATAAATGAAAGTTGGTTTTTTTTTAATTTACTTTCAATTATCCTTAAAACTGGTATTGTAGGGATTATAGATATTTCTGATACTATAATCAACATGATAAGGTGTTTTACGTTTTTGTAGTTTATCTATCTATATCACACGATGATCCTATGCTGAGTCCAGACTTTGACTTGTTACAAGCAGGGGCCTCACCATGAACTCTTATCACAGTTCAGTACAGGTTTGTAACGACTAAAAAGCGGGATGGTGATATATACACTATATAGCGCTGCCTCACATGATTGCTTTTAGGTCCTAAACTGAATCGTAATAAGACGTCACAGTAAGGTCCCTGGTAACAGTTAATCTCAAATAATAATGTCATAAAACAATTACATAAAAGCTGTTATTAAGTAATTGACATAGTTTACTGATAAAACTGCAAATATGCCATCCGCTAACTAAAATGCGGCTAAGTGGCTGAATAATTTTTTGGATATCATAAAAAACCATAACCCAGTTTTAGCATATTGAAATTGTTTAATAATATTATTGATATACAGCTATGCATTGTTAGAGTAGGTTCCGATAAGTAGAACAGAACACGTTAACTAATTTTATCTGTTTTTAAAAGAGAATTTTTTGCTCTATTTTTCTTACTAAAACAGATATCTGACCTGTAGTCACTTAGTCACATTTTAGTTAGTGGGCAACTGAAATTTGCTCCTTGCATATGACATTAAGTGTTTGAAATTTCCTAACCCACATGAGGTCTGTATCATCCCATACCCAGCAGTGATGTGCATAGGTTGATAATGAGTAGACATTGTTTTATATACTCACAAAAAGTTAAAAAAAAAACTTGTATACAGGTTGTAATCATTAAGTTTCATAAAGCTTTAAACTGATATCGAAAATATGTTACCTAATGAGTAAATCAACATCAAGAACTTTTTGAAGAGAAGTCTAAGCAATAACCAAAATTGTACATTAAACGCTCTCATATTATCTCTTTCATATCTCATTGTTCATTGAATAAATAAATAAATAAATAAATATAATAAATAATGACATTCATAGAGAAGCTTTACTTTTCCTACTGTAAGAGGTAACAATGAGTTAACAGATGACAAAACTGATACAAAGTATGGTTTGGTATGGTGTTAACGGGTTGTAGTCCGCAACTCGAAATCCAGGCACCTTTTTTGCGTATGGTACAAATAAAGTAATTAAACTATCTTTTAATTTAATAAAATTAGGCATTGTCAATTATTTGGTCAAGTGGGAGTTGTCCATAAAAATGAATAAACTTGATCAAACTTTTTTGTAAGTATGATTTTCAAATAAGTATGATTCATTCATTCTCCCAGAAGAGAATGCTATCTACCCATAAGGCCACTTACTGTTTCATCTCCTTTGTTTGTTTCTGTATTTTGTTGTTAATTAAAGTATTATTATTATTGTGTATTGTATTAAAAACAATTATAACATTCACTACAACTGTTGCATGCCATTTAACATATGAATAATTATACTAACCAATATAACTATACAATTTCAGTTTGGCGAAGGGCAATTAAAAACATTGACTACCTATTCTACAATAAAAGTTGTTGAAAATCGATAGCAATATCCCAGTTATCTATTACTGAAATTTAAATTTAATTTCAAGAGGGTTTTAAACAGGTTTGCATAATTGCCTGCACAATGCACATTTGCATAACAACAATTGTACTAATAGTAGAAAGTTGGTGGAATTAATTAATTTACTGAAGAAACGGGTATTCTATACGAATTATAAAACCTAGAAATCTGTGTTTTATTTGTTTTTTAAAGTTACATGTGTGCACAATTGCTAATTCAGACATTTATGACGTGTTATGTATTTTTATTTTCTTTTTTTTTTCTAAGTGTGCTTAGAACTCTTATACAATACTAACAAATCCTTAGACACATAGACGACATGCCAAAACGACAAGTATTTCTAGTTTGAGGACAAAATCCTGAAATTTGTTTCTTTTTTTAACTATAAACACTATTATTCATGACTTATTAGACTATTCAGAAACTTGATACACAATTACTAATTCAATTCCCATTTGTTACTATTGTCCTGTACTGACATCACTTTATCATATTGATAATATAAAAGGTACATATTCTTATAAATTCAACCTATTGATTAAAAACCAAAACATATAAATCCTCCAAGGTACAATTACCTATTCAATTTGCATTTTTGGCGACACTATTGTCCTCTATTTACTTAGCTGACATCATACACCTAGTATCAATAATAGTGTGTTTGTCTTCACACCTACTATTGCTTGTTTTTGTGCTGATGTACTTTTTATGCGAACTGGGCATAAATCTATGGCACTGGGTTGAAGGTTGAATATCTCTGGGTGATATTTGGAAGAAACCTAAGATCTTCATTTTTCATATGTAGACAAGTGAATAAAGCAACAGATGATACAGACAATTTATTTGGACGGGCTGTTGATTGTGCATAGTGGTATTTTATTGAACAAATAAGTAGATAAAGTTTTTGTTGTCTTAACACAATCACACAGACAAATAGAAAACGATAAAGGAAGAAAAACAGATACAGAACTTGAATTATAACTAAAAAGAATGAATGCAGCTGTTAACATTTTGAAATGCTATATGTTAAGAACCATAGTTTTCATAAAATTTATTTGATTGCGTTCTATGCAAGGTTGTGAAACTTGACCACATCTTCAGTAAATGTTGAGAAGATTAATAGGATGCAATGATAGGTATAATGTTATATAACACTTTTACTAAATTGCTACTAAAGAAGATATAGACAGGTATTAATTGAAGTTGCAAACATTCATCCACAATGTTATCTTGGTTTTTTTAAAAACATGTAAATAACAGTAAGTATTATATATAACAAATGTTTTACTAGATAATTATCTTCATAATGTAAGGAGTATGAGACTTATCATTGATAAGTTGCAGCAATAAATAAATATTATTTAGAAAACCAATAGGTAGCGCTTATGTACAGGAAATACATTAATATTGTACATACATAATTGTACATATCTATTGATAAAATTATTATCAAATTCCATTTCTAATACCTATGTATCTATAGTATGCTAGATTCATGTAAGTAATTTGCATTATTTGTGAAATAAAATGTGAACTGTTTTTCTACGATTGTGCCTGTGGTATACGAGTATATAGGGTAAATTGTTTTTTATTTCACAATATTTGAGATAATTCTGTATATCAAAACTAACAATTGTTATTATGTGAACCTCATTTTGAAAAAAAAAAAATTGCAGCTGCTTCAAAATAACCTAAATCAATCCAAATGTATTTTCGCTGATTTTTTCTAATTTGAGAGGGTCTCCATAATAAAAATCACTACGGAGTTACTAAAAAAAACCGACCTAAAAAGTTCATGGTGTTACATCTATTTGCCAAGTTTTGTTGAAATCAGTTACCGGAAAGTGTGCGAAACCTGATTTATCCCCCAGTTTGCCACCCTTACTGAGACCAATACTGAGGTACCCTCTTTCCAACAGAAAAAGAATCATCAAAATCGGTTCACAAATGCCGAAATTATCGCGTAACATACATACAATAAAAAAACAGGCGAATTGAGAACCTCCTCCTTTTTTTTAGTCGGTTAATTAATAAAACTACCCTTTAAAATATTGGATCTATGCCAACGTGCTAGACAGTGATATCAACTGAGGTTACTTTGTGTGAAACAGTTTTAAACAGTGAATCCATTCCCCATATACGCACTGTTGTTAACATTACTTTATACCAAAAATCTCTGTTAAGAAGTTAAAAAATGTAATTGAATTAACATCCTTAATACAAAACAACTAAGTAGTTTGGCAAAACCTACTTACTATATTTTACTTTAGTGGCACACAACACACACTAAATCCGCATTATACACACACACTATAACATTTTTTGTATAATATCAAGTGACGGGACGAACAAGTCGTGCGCCCGATGGTAAGCTCCACACCTGTCCATAACAGTTGCAGTGCCACTCAGACCTTCGCAAACATCTGAGGGGCACTGCCACTGCGACCGTCACCCTGAGACATAAGTCGACAAGTCCCATGTGCCTGTAATTTTATCAGAACATTACTAATTCACATAGTATAAATGTGTAAATCTATGTGCAATAGTCATTACCCAAGAGATCTAACTAGTATTCAAACCACATCCTATTTTTCCTTGACATGTTTTGGCGATATGTGACTGGAATTATAACGGCCAACAGTCTATGTAACATTAGTAGAGTGGTCACGCCCTATTTTTACGAGTGATTATATTAGTGGCTCAGAGGTATGCTGACTAGGTACTAGGAAAGAAGAATATGATTTCCTTCCCGGTAGGAAAATAAATTTTGTGAATTAGTTTTGGTGTAAAGGAGTTCGCCCAAGTAAGTTTGCCACATTACCTATTTCTGCCGCCAAGCAGTAATGTGAGCATTAATGTACAGCGTTTAAGTTTAGAAGGGTCAGGGTGCTGGTGAACTTACAGGTACTTGAGACTTGTCCACTTATGTCTCAGGACTACGGGCGCCGTGTCAGAACCCCTTAAATCTTTGCGATTTCAAGCTCTGAGTGGCACTACA